CTGAAGAATTGATGCTTTTGAACTGTGGTGTTGGAGAAGACTCTTGAGAGTCCCTTGGACTGCAAGGAGATCCAACCAGTCCATCCTAGAGGAGATCAATCCTGGGTTTTCACTGGAAGGTCTGATGCTGAAGCTGAAACTCCAATACTTTGGCTACCTGATGTGAAGGGCTGATTCACTGGAAAAGACCCTGATGCTGGGAAAGATTGAGGGCAGGAGGAGAGGGGGACGACAGAGGATGAGATGGTTGGATGGCATCACTGACTCGATGGACATGAGTTTGAGTAGACTCCAGGAGTTGGTGATGGACAGGGAGGCCTGGTGTGCTATGGTTCATGGGGTCGCAAAGAGTCATACACGACTGAGTGACTGAACTGAACTGAATACAGCTTTAGTGAAGAATTTAAACCTGCTGTGTGACTCTTGTCCTAAGACAATGTCAACCACAAATTGCCAAGGTCATTTGGCATCTCCCTCTGTGGAGACTGAATCCTGTGCTACTGCAGCTGTTGTGAAGAGCGAAGCACTCTGGGCTCCAGGGAAACTGGTGGAACATGTCTTTAGATAGTTATATGTTTTCAGGAACCTATCTTGTGATCCCAAGCCTTGCATCTCCTCTTATCTAGAAAATCACTAAATCCCTTCATGGTGACATCAGCTCCTCATGACTAGCAGAAAACGTTTTGTAAAATAAGTGTCCAGTGGCACTGAACTCTCCTTTCACCAAAATCTTCTATACTGACCTTCCCCAACTACCACTTTGGAGAGGTTTCTCAGAGCTATCTGAGGTGCTGCCTCCTGGACTGCAGGCCTCATTTTGCCCCAAATAGAACTTAACTCACACTCTTACTTTGTGCATCTCTTTTTTAGTTGACGACAGTTAGCTTAGTCATTCAGAGGAGGATTATCTACCTCAGGGATCAGGGGCCCAGTCTTCCATTTCAGGGGGCTTTGCAGGAAACCAGGCTTGCAGTCCTTCCCACCTAGCAGGGTGAACTCAATTCACACTGGGTGAAGTCCTGCAAAGATCTCCCAGTTTGCATTCAAAAGGCAGATACAAGTTTTTAGGCCATTTGTGTTTCCATTTGCCCTTGCTATTTACATAGAAAATAAAGGGCTGACTTTAATCACATGGTTATTTTGATTTATTAGGCTCATAGACTTACTCTCTTGAGAAAGCAACGTGCCAGAAGTTCAGGGTTTTCAGTGCATTTTTCCAATTCTTTTAGAAAAGTCCTAGGGAAAGAAAAGTATAATATTGCTTGATTTTTATGTATATGGGGTTAACAAAAAATTCTTTTGAGGTAAAATCACATAATGCTTTAAGAAGTGTATAGAAAAATGTTGTTTTCCCGGCTTTACTGCTTTTGACTCATCTTCAACATGCTGATTTAAAAGAAAAAAATGTATTCTGTGACAGTAATATGATTCCGTGAAACCACTCATACCTGTTTGGGTAATTCTAAGCACCAGACAGACTGGATACACTGATGATCTCTGCTACCTGATACTGACATTAACAAGAACTACTGTTGCTGCTGTTACTACTACTACTACTATCATTGAAAGCTGACTATAAATCAGGCATAAGCTAAGTGCTTTGCAAATAGTATCTCATTTAATCCTCCACCAAACCTTGCAAGACAGGGTTTCATAAGTGTGAAACCTGAGGTTCAAAGAAGCTGTATAACTTCTCCAGGAAAAGAAACAGAAATAGTATTTTTATTTCATCTTTGTGTCTGACCAATGGTCAAAGAAATGTGGTTAAGAAACAACTGTGATTCCATTTACCAAGCAGTCTCTTCCCTCATACCAAGTAGATGTGAGAACCTGGAGCCACTAGAATGGGTAAAGTAGTAAACACAAGATGTGGTTTTCTCATCTGTAAAACGAAAGAGTTGGAACATGATTTCCAAAGTCCCCTCGTTTTCTCATTCTTTAGAATCCAACACCTTGGGCTAAAAGGACAAAAGCTATTGGCTAAAAGGACAATTGTCTGACTGGTTAGCATTTTCTAACACCCTGGTTCCCAGCACCCACCTATAATAGGTAAGTGGACTTGTGTCTTAGTCAAGTTTGTACTCCCAATGTGCAACACAGTGCCTGACACAGAACAGGTGCTCAACAAATGCTGATGTGTGAATAGATGAATAAGGAAGGGAACCCACAAATGAATACAACATCTATGCCTGACACTAGTACATGCTCCATTAATGTCTTTTCCCGTCTTCCTTGGGGACCTTCTCACCTCATTCTCATCTCATCCCACCCCAATCCAATCCACTGAAGCTGAGTTTCAGTCAGTCCTTCCAATGAATATTCAGGACTGATTTCCTTTAGGACTGACTGGTTTGATCTTCTTGCAGTCCAAGGGACTCTCAAGAGTCTTCTCCAACACCACAGTTCAAAAACATCAGTTCTTCAGCACTCATCCATACATGACTATTGGAAAAATCATAGCTTTGACTAGATAGACCTTTGGCGGCAAAGTGATGTCTCTGCTTTTTAATATGAAAAGCTCAAACTCCAATACTTTGGCCACTTGATACAAAGAACTAACTCATTGGAAAAGACCTTGATGTTGGAAAAGTTGAAGGCAAGAAGAAAAGGGGACAACAGAGGATAAGATAGTTGGATGTCATCACCGACTCAGTGGACATGAGTTTGAGCAAGCTCCACGAGCTGGTGAGGGACAGGGAAGCCTGGCGTGCTACAGTCCATGGCGTCACAAAAAGTCAGACATGACTGAGAAGAGACTGAACTGAACTGAACTCATTTCCATCCTTCTCTTATTTTCCATTTTCTCTGATAATTTGAATCATTATATACCTGTTGTGAAATTCGTAAAGTTCTCTAATGTTCCCAAAGAGAAACTCCTTGTTATTCCGCAGGACATCTGGAATTAGATGATTCAGCCAAATAAAATCCATTGGAATGATATATCCCTGCAGAGGTGGAAAGAGGGTAGGTTTTACAAACAGGAACCCATAAGAGATGATCTGAATTAGACAGTGTAGAGGCCAAAACTTTAATAATTGGGGAGTATGGCATACATGTTTCCTGCAAGCCATTCCTTCAGATACTTTCTTTTGATGTTATATTCCTCATTGGTCTATCTTCAGAATAAGATGGTTTAATGGCAATGATAATATGATAGCATTTTTACAGGAAGAACAAATCTATTTTTTAAACTTGCCACAAAAGTCAAATGGAAAAGGAAAAAAAAAACTTACCTCTTATTTTATGACCTGATGCAATTACTATTGTCTTATTTCCTTTATGGCTTTTTAAAAGCTTACTATGTATGGTTATAATCACAGTACATATATAATTTGTAGTCTGTTTTTCTGTATGCATTTTAGACTCTGCTTGTAAATTTCTAGAAGTACTATTTTTAATTTAATCTTACAAGCATTTATTTCAATGTTGATGTTATTATTAAAAGTAATTATTTTGTAACAGTTGACTAATACTTCATTTAGCATATATTTAACACTTCATCAACCATTCCCCTTTTTACTGGATATTTGGTTTTATTCTGATGTTTTATTGTAAAAACTTTCCATTGTAAGTTAATACAAATAGTTTATTTCTCAAGATTACTACCTTAGGAAAATAGAGAAAATATAAATTTTACTCTTAAGCAAAAAGAATGCTACTTAATACAATGAGAAACAATTCTATTTATCAAAATGTTTAAATTATCACATCTGTTGTTGGCAAGCATATGATGAACCTAAGTGGGGCATTACTAGAATCATATGAGGTGCTATAATCCTTTGGAAGTTATTTTGTTACATAAATCAACAATCATAGAATGTTCTTATTCCTCCTGAGAAAAAAAAACCACTTGTGCTATTATAAGACCTGAAACTTTGGTGGGAATTCTAGAGACATAAGGCAACTATCCTGAATTTCTTTCTGCAACAAAATTTTTACAGTTTGAATACATGATTAACATCCCCCTTGCTCCAAATCTACTTACATCAATTATGTTCTTAATCTCTTTTATATAAGTCTCTTCAGTCTCAAGCAAGTCACGTATAATATGCCTAAATCAGCAGCAGGTGGGAAGATGAAAGAGAGAGAGAGTGGGGTGGGGGGAAGCAGTGTTTTAGAATTCTTTTAGAATAACAGTCATCAATACAGTTCCCCTCAGTGGCTCACCTACTTAGGTTGTAGTGAGTTCATTCTATTCTGCTGAACACCCAAGGGCCAACATCTCACAAAACCATACTCTGATCACACTGGCATGAGAAGAAATGGCAAAGTTAAAGGACTCAAAATCCATGTATGCAGCCAGAGAATGACCTATTTGTGGGCCATAGCATGGGGGGGCAAGAGGGCAGACACTGGAGTAGGAAATAACAGGTTTGGTTTCTTGGTCGGGAAGGTCTGCCTGATCCCTACATCGCACATGTGGTCTCCTAGATTTTCTCCCCAGTCTTCTCCTATTTCATTGCTCACATCATGATCTTTGACCTATAGGGATGCCTTTTTTTGTGCATGGGGTTAGAAGCCTGTCCTTCCCCCTTCCTCTGGCATTCCATATTTCTGTGTGATTGATTTCCTACAGCCAGAAGACATGAGCTCTTTCTGTTTCCCTTGGAAAGGCAGGTGGGCGGTGTGGTATGCAGCATTCTAACATGGCCCGCAAGATTCCTGGCCCCTAGTGCACATACACCTCCTCCCAGTTAGTCAATCAAACACTAACTTAAGTGAAGATATTTTGCCATTCTGTTTTGTTTCATATCAGTTGACCTTAAGACAGGTAGATTATCAGGTTGGGCATGTCCTACTCACATGGACTCAGAATCTGGGTCAAAAAGTCAGTGAGATTGGAAGCACAAGAAGGATATAGCACAAAGGACATTCTCCTTTGCTGGATTTGGAGATGGAGACAGGGTACACACCAAGGATCACAGGCAGCCTCTAGGAGCTGAGTGGCACCCAGCTAACAGCCAACAAGGAAACAGGAACTTTAGCCCTATGGTTGCAAGGAACTGAATTCAGCCACAACCACACAAACTTAGAAGATAGCTTGTAAGAAGTTCAACTGGCTAACACCTTGATTTTATCTACGCGACTTCAGCAATTAGCCAGTCTTGCTATGCTCAGGCTCCTGTCCCGGGGCAACAGTGGGCTGAACTGTTAAGTTTGTGGCTGGTTTTCAACTCAGCAATAGAAAAACAAAAGAAAGGCCAGTCCCCACGTCTATCTCCAGATTTTTTTTTTTCTCTCTCAGGTTGTGTGGCCACACTTTCCTTTTAGGGCTAACTTTCAGGCCTCCAAGTGAATCAGTGTTTGTACAAGTGTTCACATGTAGAATATACACATTTGTGGTTTCCTGTGAGCTGCTCATGAGTTATCTATTAAACAGCAGTCTACCCTAGAAAATAGTTTATTTTCCTCTCATAAGAATAGATATGACAAATAGCGACAAATAATCAAAGGATGCGATCTAGGAAATTCACACAAATATACAAATGACTATTAGTCTTATAAAAAATGCTCAGTACATATGAATCCAACAAAGGCATTGTATAAAGAGGTAACAATTTTCAGCTTCTATAGTATGTCAGACACTGCAAACCTTAAACGAAGACTGGCAGATGAAGATATGAAAACATGCTTAGATAATACTAGCAAAAGTATAAATTTGTGCAAGATACCTTAGAAATAACTCATTGTGATTTAAAACACACATTGACTGGTGTGCGTGACTTAACTCAGCAGTTTCACTTCTAAACATGGTCACTGTAATTAAAACAACAGAACCTCAACTACAATAAGACACAAACTGGAAATTACTTAAATTATGGTACATACATGCAATGAAATGCCATGCAGTTTTTAAAAAGAATGAAGCTGACTGAATCATGCTGATATAACACAGTCCAAGAGTTTTAAGTGAATTAAAAAACAACCACCATCTCTAAATTTTTGGTAGAATTCAGCTCTGAAGTAGTGAGGGAGGTGGGTGGGGGGATTGGGATGGGGAATACATGTAAATCCATGGCTGATTCATGTCAATGTATGACAAAACCCACTACAATATTGTAAAGTAATTAGCCTCCAACTAATAAAAATAAATGAAAAAAAAAACAACCGCCAAATGTACAACACTGTGCAGGATATGACTAGTTGTATAAAATTCACACTATTTGTGTAAAATGGGTGTGCATACATACATATATGTAAAATTATCTATGCTTAGAAAATTCATGCCAAGAAGCTTAAAACATTGTTAACAGTGATTCACTTTAGAGAGTGATAACAAAGACAAGAAAATAGAGGAAAAAATTTTTACATTTTACTCTTAACCCTTCTTCAATCTTTGATTTGAAAAAAAAATTTACTGACTTTCTTGGTGGTCCAGTGGTTGAGGATCCACCTTCCAAAGCAGAGGACGCTGGTTTGATCCCTGGTTGGGGAAATAAAATCCCACATGCCACAGGGGAACTAAGCCATCCAATGACAGCAAATGAGCCTGCACGCTCGAGTCCAGGCTCTGCAGTAAGAGAATCCCATAGCCACAACTTTCCCATTCCCCATGTTGCAACTAGAAAAAGGATACATGCCGCAATGAAGACCCAGTGTAGCAAAAATAAAAATTTAAATACTTACTGCTTTCATAATTTTAAAAAATGGTTTACATGATACTTTAAAATGAATGTTACTGACAGTAATGACATATAAACCCCATTTGAGAGATATCCTACAATTTACCCTATCCTATAACTCAACGATTATTTTTTCTTAAAATGAAAAATTTATATCTTTTTAAAAATGCTTGTTATAAGACAAAACTGATAAAGGACAGCCGTTGACCAAGGATACAATTTCAAGAAGTATAATTCCACCAAAAAAGTTACTTCAAGATCATATTTATTAGTAGCTAATGAGTCTCTTTTCATGGGGTCGCAAAGAGTCAGACATGACTGAGCGACTAAACTGAACTGAACTGATGAGTCTCTTAGTTTTCTGAATGTTGAGCTTTAAGCCAACTTTTTCACTCTCCTCTTTCACTTTCATCAAGAGGCTCTTTAGTTCTTCTTCACTTTCTGCCATAAGGGTGGTGTCATCTGCATATCTGAGGTTATTGATATTTCTCCCGGCAATCTTGATTCCAGCTTGTGCTTCCTCCAGCCCAGCGTTTCTCCTGATGTACTCTGCATATAAGTTAAATAAGCAGGTTGACAATATACAGGCTTGACGTACACCTTTTCCTATTTGGAACCAGTCTGTCATTCCATGTCCAGTTCAAACGGTTGCTTCCTGACCTGCATACAGGTTTCTCAAGAGGCAGTTCAGGTGGTCTGGTATTCCCATCTCTTTCAGAATTTTCCACAGTTTATTGTGATCCACACAGTCGAAGGCTTTGGCATAGCCAATAAAGCAGAAATAGATGTTTTTCTGGAATTCTCTTGCTTTTTCGATGATCCAGTGATGTTGGATTTCAAGATTGCCAGGAGAAATA